ATGGTTTATAAGATTCTTTAAAAGGTCTTATGCTACTATCCTAATAAAGTGTTGCGATGCAGCAGCTCTTACCAGTTGATCTAGATAATCTACAAAGTTTTGCATTGCAGTTTCTTGCGCGAGTTGAGCTCTAGGATGAATGGCCATGGAACATTTTGCAGACCGACAAGGCCCACTTTCATATGGAAGGTGCAGTTAACACGCACAGTTGCTGTATTTGGGCTGCTACAAACCCACATCAATTCCTACAAATTCGATTACACGCTTCACATGTAACGGTTTGTTGTGGCTTTACTTTAAATAATTAACATGAATTTGATAATTGATTCATTGAGAGTTTTTTTTCAAAGAACACAGTGCCGCAGGGCCTGTGACATGCACCATCACCAGTCAACGATATGCGTCATTATTAGAGCAATCCTTTATTCCGGCTCTTCGGTCATTGCAGTTTCTTGCGCGAGTTGAGCTCTAGGATGAATGGCCATGGAACATTTTGCAGACCGACAAGGCCCACTTTCATATGGAAGGTGCAGTTAACACGCACAGTTGCTGTATTTGGGCTGCTACAAACCCACATCAATTCCTACAAATTCGATTACACGCTTCACATGTAACGGTTTGTTGCGGCTTTACTTTAAATAATTAACATGAATTTGATAATTGATTCATTGAGAGTTTTTTTTCAAAGAACACAGTGCCGCAGGGCCTGTGACATGCACCATCACCAGTCAACGATATGCGTCATTATTAGAGCAATCCTTTATTCCGGCTCTTCGGTCAAACCAATGTGATACAACCACAGTGTTATGGAGAATGGTGCTCCTCCACACATCGCCCGTTGTCTGACACAAGTCCTCCCCTGCCATTTCGGTGACGGCAGAATAATCAGCCGACAATTTTCTACAGCTTGGCCTCCTAGATCCCCCGACTTGAATCCTTGCGAATTTTGGCTGTGGGGATACCTCAAGGCCATGGTCTGCCGTGATACCATGACATCTATATCCGACCTTAAAGAATGCATAAAATGCCATATGCATAACATTCCCCAGTTCATGCTACTTTCAACAGTCAACATGCGTTTTACACTTCCAGATGGTAGCAGACAACGGTAGACATCATATCAAGCATGTTTTGTAGATTATATGTTCTCAGTAAAGCTATGATACGGTACTTAGGAGTGGTTTTTGAAACTCACTGCTTTTTTTTCCTTGATAAAATTCCTATCATTTCATTCACCAAATTTTTATGCAATTCTGCTGTATAGTTTTTGCTACAGACTGCTCACAAATTTCAAGTTTAATTATGGATACCCTGTATATATGTATATATAATTCTTTAATATTTTACCAGTAAACTAAAGAAATTAAATTTATATATAAAGCTATACAAAATGTTCTCGTTTGCTATATGATCTAACCAATTGCTTTCTTTATGTCAAGACAGAACTTTTAAATATTTGAAGAAATAGCATGCATAGTAAATATAATGACATTTATTAATTCTTTCATGCTCTAGAGAAAAAGGATTTTGTAATGAGCAGTTGTAACAATGAAAACAAATTTAATACAGTCACATCAGCTAAAGATTTTTTGAATAAGTCATATAACATACTGTTTGACTACTACAAACAACGGATTTATACAAACTTTTGCTCTCAATAACCATGCAGTTGCGAAAAGGGTAAATGCAGAGTATATTAGGTACTCTTCTGCTATCGGGACCAGATTAAAAAATGCATCTATGCATGCACTTGTGTATGCATACTTGCCAACCTATGACACTCAAAAATCAGGAGATTTTTCACAATGTTAAAAAGACTTTTTAAATGATAAAAATATAGTTTTTAATAATGAATTAACTTTAAATAGTTACTAAGTCTTAAATGCAAGCAAAACAAAAATATCTTAGACATAAAAAACATTTTTATTACTTCATCATTTCATTTCATCAAATTCATCGTTTAAAAAAAAAAAAAAAAAAAAAAAAAAGACACTTTAATCAGTTTTCATACAAATGTTATGGACAGTGGCAGATTTTGCTCTCGTTAAGAAAGAAACTTCATAATTTTGTTCATAGCAATTGCCACGTAGGCCTGCTTTCGCTAATAAAAGTTTTTCTAATGTGTCATCACTAATATTAGGTCTAAATTTAGTCCTCGTTTTCACAACAACACTGAAAATCCTCTCACACTCCACATTACTATGGGGAACTGTCACGATGGCCAACATAATTCTAGAGAGTTCACTATATTTTAAAATTCCATCAGCACCTTTCAATTTTCCAATTAACCTCCACTGGGTGTCAATCCTAGCTGATTTTATAACTTCATCCAAGTTTTCTAATTGTAAACTGCAAAATTGCGACTGCAGTATATCAGTAGCAACATCAATATCATCATCTTTCATGACTAAACGAAGTAACACAGGAAATCTGTTTAAAAAGTACCTTATATCAAAAAAAGATGCATTTGCTAAAGCAGAAACATCAGCAACTTTAGCATGCAAAATCACTTCATCGTTGACTGGAAATTTATGTAGTATGTAATCACATACTCGACAGAAGTAACTTCTAACATGAAGATAAAATTTATTTTTGATAAATTTTATCTTCATGTAGATAAAATTTATTTTTGTCTTCTTCTGAAAGTTCTTCCACTACTTTTGTAGTTGCAGCTCCTATTACCAAATCTTCATCTTCCTTCTGATTTTCTGTTTCACCATAAATCACATCATATATAGAATTACAAGACAAACACAGACTGGTTTTACAAACTTTGATTAAAATGTCTTTAAACAGATCATAAATCTTTGATTGCAAAACATGAATTAATGGAATTCTGCTTTGTAGAATTGTGTTCAGAACATCGAATGATGGCAAAATGAATTGTAAAAAAAAAAAAGCAAAAAGCTTTGTTAAGGTCCGAAGAAAACACCATAAATATTCGTTCTTCACAAGATAAACTTACAGTAATCGGAAAATGTTTCGTGTGTTGAGCAATTTTTTTTTTTTTTTTTTTTTTTTTTTTTTTTTTTTTTTGAGAGAAATTTGTATCAGCTTTACGCTTATATTTTGCAGTATTATTTTGAGAACTGCCAGTTGAATTGCTGAATTATGCAGAAATTACAAAAAATCAAAATTTTTCTCATTTCAGTATTATGCAGCTGTTGGAACTGTCAATTTTTCCTTTCTTTAGAACTCCTTTCAAGATAATAATAAATATCAACAATGTGTTCATCCACATTTAATGGTAAAGAAGCTGCCCCTTTTTCAGCTGCTAAATTTAAGAGGTGACAGGTGCACCTCATAATCTGCAAATCTGAATTTGCCTTTCTTAAGATGCCTACCATTACTGGTGCATTATCGGCACCAAGTGCTAAGCATTTATCCAGAGGGACTGCATTTTATTTTAAAGTTTTAAATAATTAGCTGTGCTATATTAAAGCCTGTCGAATGTCCTTCTAAAGTGGGGTCAGAAAGTAAACTGCACTCAATTTCTGAAGACTCTGGATTAAAAAAAGAAACAACAATTGGATACAGTTTTGAATTGGTATTATTGCTTCCATCCGTAGAGAGGCAGAACAGAGCTGTTTTAATGCAATCAATAACTGAAGATTTATTTTTCAAACCCATTTCTTTAACAACTGCACCTGTTTTGGTCCTTGCACTTGAGTATTTCTTAGCGATTTCACTATCGGGAAACATTTTTCTAAATAAAGCTGCAGCGTGATCCGATGCATTCAGTGGCAGGTTGTGCTCCAGTAAAAAGGCAGAGAACAGACATTCTGCATTAATCACTTTTTGGTCTTTTGTTTCCGTTCCGAAGAAAATTTAATTTTCGTTATTTCAAACAACTCATGTTGTCCTTGTGTTTTTGTGTACGCACATGTTTGAGAACATCTGCCCTTCCACCAAGCGAAATCGAAAAATCGCAATGACAGATGGTACACATCGCAAATTTACTACATTTCCTTGAAGAAATAATGGAAGGAAAGTCAACTGTGTACGATTTTTGAAACATGCACGAGTATTTCACTTTTCTCGCAGACATATCAAAAGACGATAATTTCTAAAACTATTTCCTAAAGGCACGTGTACTCACACAACTCAGGACAAGATGAACGAAATAGCGAAAACAAACTCCAAAAACGGCCAACGGCCCTTGAGCTTGCTTTGTGCTCATTGGCTAATATATGCCAGATGACACGCAGTGGAGCTCGATGCCCATTAGACAACTGGAGAACGACGTTGCTGGATACGTATGCTGTCAATCACAAAAGCAGAAATTCTCAATCTGATTCGCAAGGTTTCATTTTAGATATAATCTAGAGAAAATTCAGTTGCTTTCAGACGTCCAAAATCACTTTTTTTTTTTTTTTTTTTTTTTTTTTGTTTGTTCATAAAACGAAGTATTAAGCCAAGTTCCATAAAAATCATGAGAAATATTAAGAATAAGAAAAAGTCGGGAGAAATATATTGTAAATCGGGTTGGCGGGAGAGCGGTCAAAAATCGGGAGAGTTGGCAACTCTGTGTATGTAATGCATACACATATGTGTGTGAGTGCGCATACATGCACATACATGCAGGCATACATCCATACATACATGCATATGTTTCTGAATCAGGTTCCAATACCAGTATTTTGTAAGGCAAGACCTTTTACCTTTATAAAGTCAATGCAAGAAGGAGAGAAATTTTTTTTTCAATAAATTAAACTTGATTTTAAAATGTTTAGAAAAATTAAGCTTACAGAATATGTATTACAGAACTATTACAGGAGGAATTAATTTTACTATTTTTCTCTCTCTTTTTTTTTTTTTTTTTTTTTCATTATTTAACTTCACACTTTTTATTAATTATTTTAAGTAGCTGTATCTTTTACCAATTACTATGCATATATTTATGCTTTAAACACAGTTCAAGAATGCAAATGCCTACAGAACTAATATTAAAAAAATGTTTTCTATATACATAATTTAAATAGGATATTGTATGAGCATACCTGTGATGCAAATTTTAGTTACACCTAATGCTTTGCATACCAACAAATTGACCAATCCAATAGGTCCTAGATAAAAATAAAATTAAATTAAAAGAATTTAGTAAAAAAAAAAAAAAAAAATGTCAAAATTAATTTCATATTTAGACTTGTTTACCAAAAATTAAAAATGCAAAATAAATAAATAAATAAATTAGCTAATTCAAGGAAAAAATAGATTGCATATTTATGAAATAAATATGCATATTTACAATGGCATTCATATTTATAACAGCATTCACACAGCTCAAGTTTAATTTCAAAATCATACATGTAATACAAGAGAAATTATTTATTCCTGAAATCTTCTATTATTAATTAAATCCTCCACTGAACTCCCAGCTGATTGTAGCCTATTTCCATAAAGCACAAAATTTAAAATCTGAACATTTAAAAAAAAAAAAAAAACTATCATTAGTGACAAATGAGACAACAAAAAAATAGGAAAATTGTAGTCTGAAACCTGAAGAAAACAGTCTGACACTTTAAGAAAATGTTCATCCCTAAAATTTCCATGATTTTTTTTTTTAACAAAATTATCAAAATGTTAAAAAGTGTAAAAAAAAGATTACATTCCAGTTATACACAGTTTAATGTTAGGCAGCCTTACTATGGCATACATTTTGAGAAAATTTTCATTTTCAAGAGTAATCAGAAATGAAGAGAGACTTGTGTCTCAACAAAATTTATAAAGTTCAATTTAACATCTATACCAAACTAAGACTGCTTAGTTTTAAGTTTTATACTGACAGGTGTCTCTTACAGTTTGTTAATAAGTGTTGTTACAAATATCGATACTTTCACAAAATCCACACTCTGACAAAAAAAGTCATGGGGCAAAGCAGAATGCCGCCAGAATAGTTACATGGCAACCAGCAATTTTGCCAGAAAAAGATTTTTGTGGCAAGCCTTTAATTTTATCGATTAATAACTCTTGTATGACATTTTTGGTGTGCCGCCATTTTGAAAATGCTGCCTTTCGCACATTAGCTTGGCAAAAAAATTAATTGCCAATTAGTTAGTGGCTTTTCACTGAGGGTGTAGTTAATCAGAAAGTACAGAAATATATTTTATTAATTACAGTAAAATTGTAAATATTCCCAAAAATTATCTGCTGGATATATCATATTAGAATTATTTTAATTTGCATCACTTACATATATTATTAAAATGTAAAATAAAGATTTAAATTATTAAGAAGGTCATTTATTATTTTTAAATCTCTCAGTTTATTTATAACAGATGGTAATGCTCTAAAAATCTGTAAAGTGTAAGGTTAAATGGAATATAAAAATCTTATTTTTCATACAGTGGCAGCACTTTCCATAGGTTATTTCTAGAATTTTTCTATTCTCTTCTGTCAGTTCTTGAGGAGAAATTGTGTCTTGGATTTTATTTTGTTAAGGCATGATTTTCCATAATAACTAAAAACAATGCAACTCCTTTGAAGTGTAGAATTAAATGTAAGCAATATTAAGACTGAGAAACTTTGGAGGATTTATAATTTAAAGGATTTAGTGAATAATTAGGCTTTCAATTAAGTACTGTATCAATAAATTAAATACACCAGTAGAACTAAATAAAATGACCTTTTAAGTCTGTTTTCATACATGTAAGTAAGAATGATACTAAAATTAACTGTTACCGCTGTTTATGAAAATTAAATAGTTTTGAAATGTAAAAAAGCATTTGATGCATGTTTTAATAAATTAATTAGAAGGAAAATAAGTTATCAAATAGAATTAACTTGATGTTGGTGAACAGGGGCAAGCATAATAATACATACTAATACAAAATATTATCCTTAATTTGTAAGGTTTCTTTCAGCAATAACTAATGCTATTTAAACTATATACACATATTTAATGTAAAGTAAAGCAATATTAAGATATTAAAGAATTTATTTAAGGCAGCAAAAGTGGATAAATTAAGAAAGTTCTACACGGGCCTTAATATTTCGTCATTCAGGAAAATCTGTACGAAATAGAAAGTTATTCAATATAGAAAATATTTTCAGTTTCTCTGATGTGTAAGTTATAATTGATTTTACTATTTTCACCTGGCATCCATCATCTCATGAAACATTAAAAAAATTCAAATGTACCTGGAGCAGATAACACAGGGTATTTGAGAAAGCATGACATCGGTAACACAAATCAGTGGATTTATATAGTTGAAAAGAATAACCCAAAGAGTTTTGTTTGTTGAAAAAGTGGTATGCAGTGGATTTAGCCTTTTTAGGCATGTGTGTACCCAAATTACAAAAACAATAAAGCTAAAACATACTGGTAATGATTTTGAACATTTAGAAGCAAATAGTGTCACCTGGGCATAATCTGAGCTATAAGTGGTGCTCAGACAAAGGTGTACAAAAACCTTTCTCCTCTTCCTTCCAGCTATGTAAACCACAATATAATAAGCATAAAAATTTTGGACATATGTGTCAACATTTTCCATCACTTTTTTCCCAGACACACTGTATTTGCCACAGTAATAAAGTTATTAAAAATACAGTGTTTTTATCTTATAGCAATAAGAATATACAAACAATTTTAAAAATTAGACATTTTTACTGACCAGCTCCACAGATTAAAACTGATTTTCCAGCAGTAACATTAGCTCTTCGACAAGCATGAACAGCAACAGAGAGTGGCTCCATCAAAGCACCTTCATCTAATGTGACATTATCAGGTAACCTAAAATTTTAAAAAATTGTTTCATACTTAAAAATCTGATAATGTTTATAGCAACACTTAATTATTAGTACTATCAAAATTATGAATACATGAAACTATTGCTTTAAGAAAAATACAAGCTTGAAATTTTGGGAAAAATCTGTCTATGACTTTTGAGTGATTATTCTAGTCACTTCATTGGTACAGACAGCAGAGGCTATTTTCATGTCTGAGAGCATGGATCCCAAGTCCAAGAAGGCCATGAAAATTTGCGACTAGTGTGCTTGAAAGTTAAAGGTATTTAAAATATGTGTACAAAAATCGTGGAAAAGTTAGTACTAAGAGAAGGAAGATTGAAAATTGTTGGCTTTCCAATACATTTGGCATTTTGCATCAAAATTGGATGACAGACAGACTTATATTGGCATCGTTGATTTGCACTTAAATCACATAATTACACTTCATGTTAACTATTACCAGTTTAACAGTTAAGAAAATTTACATAGATCTGCAATGTTTTAGAGCAAAGTCTTTCTAAAAAAATTCTTTTATAAGTTGAAAAAAAAAGTTCCATGGTGTAATGCAAATTGTAAGTTATGATGTTATCAAGAAAAATTATCTCTTATCTTTCACAAGTTGCAAGAAAATTTCCTAGATATGAAAGTTTTAATATGCTTTTTAATTACCTTAACATACATTTTCATATTGATATTTTATTTAACATGCAAAATTTTATTAAAATGAATAAAATGTAAAATATGCACATTCAAAAATTTCCTTAACCATTTTCTAAGATTTCATTCACGTTAGTAAAAATGATACTGCAATTAGTGCATGCAAAATTTAAAAATAAAAGCTTATGTAGGTAATTAAGACACAATAACACACTGAACAAATATTAATTCAGAAGTCAAACAACAAAAATTAGCGTTATATTTTCATAATTTTCACAGGACTACTTTCGATGGTTTTACCGAACCACCATCCTCAGCTGCAAAACCGCAAATGAACAAGATAGGAAAATAATGATTAGATAACATAAGAAAGCCTGGACAAGAATAAGCAAGTGGCACCATCTGTTGGTGAAACCAGAACTAAAACATAATTTCTTTAAAGGACGAATTCGGTATCACAAAAAAAAGTGTTGACTTTTAAAGAAAAATAATTTAGTTTTATCTGCTGTATAGCTGCTGTCTATGCAAATCAAAGAAATAAATACATCGTACCAAATAACTTCCCATGTTTATGCTCATTAACAAAGGAAAAATTATAAAAATAGCAATGATTTGCAAAAAGTACCATAATCTTCATCAAAATTCATCACCTAAATTGTTTACATGCAATGCAAATTAAAATTTATCATGAAAATTAATTTGGTTTCATAAATATTCAGATAGCAGCACAAAATATGGTGTTTCAGTACAGATAATTAATATTTTAAATAAGTATTTAATTATGAAAAAACACTTGCAGACATGAGGCGAAAAACCAGAGTCGATCAGGAAATGGCCGCTAACTCTTGCTCTCTATCATTGTACTAATAAAGGGAAACATTCACATTACATAAAATAACCATAAGCAAGCTCTTTTCTGTCATTAAAAGGTGTATATACTGTGTGTATAAAACATATTTTATTATTGAACAGATTTGAAATTTAACATATATGATATGCTTTTTAATAGAAGTTATTCCTGACTGCTTCCATAACACTATGGGAATTATAAACGAGGATCAAATTCCATACAGTATTTTAACATCTCATTTTCTGGACAATTGCCTTTATTTGCTAATTTTCAGATAAAAAATTGTTTTGTTTAATTAATTTTATGTCATTCTAAAACTTTCAATGTTGACATGTGTTTTCACCAAATTTTATGAAAATCACTGTAGTTTATGAAAAACTTCATGGACATGTTTAAAATAAATATTTATCAAAACAGCAATTTTTATTTTAATCAAAAGAATTTTTTAAAAATGTTAAACATTTGAAGATATTAATATTACTATGAAATGCTAGTTTACACAAAGAAACATACTTGAAACAAAAGTCAGCTGGATGACAATAATATCGACAAAGAGAGCCATCAACAGGTGGAGTAGCATTGAACTTCACACTTTCACAAAGATTATAACGCCCACCTTTACAAAACTCACACATTCTACATGGCACACCAGGTTCTATGCACACTCGATCTCCTGCAATTAAAATATAACAAATACACAATAAACAAATTTTAAAATAAAATAACTTTCACTTAAATGTTGCAATTAAATAATACAAACTCAAGGGTTGAAAATTAAATACATAAAGTTCAATGAAGCATCAAAACAAATAAATTAGAGTAAAAACAAAAGATTACATTTTAACTATTTAAGCAAATTGTAATTAAAAGCATAAATAAAGAAATAATTTAAGGTCACCAGCTATTACATGAAAAGAAAGATAAGAATTCACACTTTTATTTCATGACTCATGTCAAGTTAAAATTTATAAACATTCATCAAGTAAAAAGAATATCAGTTTCAACTAAATATTTTTAATTTATCAGTAGTTTAGTTATAATTCCAGCTATACAAGTGCAAATAAATTGTAGCATAATACTGGAGACATTTCTTTACAAAACTGAAAGCAGTTCTGCAATGGTATTCATTAAAATGAACATATTTAATTTTTTAAAAATGTCATGCCACTGACACATTCATATCACCGAATGCGCTATTTTAAAGCTCTGATGCTCTGCTGCAGCGTCAAGGAAAGCTGAAGCAATGGTTACTTTGCTAACACTCTGTGCCACTGCACACATAATCAAACTGTATACAAGGGTACTTAGTACTGTACAACACACCCATTTTCTTGATTCATAATAAATGATGGTCTGCATGTCCCTAACAGCAATATGGACAAGATACCTATCTCTCAGCATTGCTAATTAGGGCCTGTTGAGATCTTAAACATTTACAATTCTTTCACAATTAAATTTTGAGATGTATGTATTCCTTCATCTTACATAAGATATAACTTCTTTTTCTTCAGTCGCATTACAGCCTATCACAGGCCAAATTCGTCTCAACAAGCTTCCTCAAGTGGATCCAATTAGTTGCTATGGTCTGCCAACGACTCATTTTTAGAGTCCTGAAATCTGCCTCCACACAGTGTATCCATCTTGTGCGAGGTCTTCTTCTTTTCCTAGTACCTTCTATATTTGCAAAGGTCACCTTTTCAACAAGGTTTAAAACAAGGTTCAAGCTGTCTCATCTAAAAATATGTCCAAGCCACCTGATACAATAAGATTTGATGACTAAAACAATATTAGATTGTACATATCTTCAATATATTTCATGGTTAAACAAAATCTATTATTTTCGCTAATTCGGTCATATATTTTTCACAGTATTTTTCTTTCAAAAATTAGAAGACTTTCTTCATCTGTTTTTGTTAATGGCCAACATTAACTACCATACAATATGATAGATCTAGTAAGAGTTTTATAAAATTTATTTTTGTCTTGGAAGTTTAATAAATTTAGATACTAAAAAATTCTTTAAACCATGATAACATCTATTAGCTCTCAATAATTTATTGTCAATTTCAAATTTATATTATTATTGTTAGAGATGATAGTACCAAGCTACATAAATTGAGAAATGCCCTCAAAAGTATAAGATTTTACTTGGAACGCTTTTGTACAAAGTTATATTGAAAAAAACCGTCTCGTCCTTAATTTTTGCACACCAGTGTATAATCACTATTGCCTATAGGTATCAACTTCAGAAGTGAACTTGCAAATGGGCAAAAAGTGATTCTAGCCTTGAAATAACAGCACAATAAAAATTATTTTAAACATTAAGAATATACTTATATTTTGTTTTTCACAAATGTGTTATTAAATGTTGAACAACAAATTATTTAATTAATTTTTATAATTTATAAATGGAAATACACGTTACAGAAAAGTTGTGTACACATTAAGCTACTTACAGCATTCTGTTTATTGAGTAGCTACCATCAAAAAGTTATTTTTTTGTAATAAATTAACAGACTTGGAATTCTTATAAAGTATAGGACATTAAAATCTTATGTTTCAATGTATGAAAGAAAATAAAATATGAATTTTATATATAATTTTATGAATATACATAGGAACAAATTATGAATGGCATGCTAAAACAAAAGTAAATGTATCTAAATTTAAAGCCTATAACATACCTTCTTTTAAGTTTTCAACTTTATCACCAACTTTTATGACGACACCACTTGATTCATGACCTAGTACCAAAGGACCATCAACAATAAAATCACCAATTCGACCATGTTTCCAGTAATGAACATCAGAGCCACAAATGCCAACAGAGCTCATTGCAATTAAAACCTCTAAAAGATTAAACATAATATATATTAAATGAAATCTTGCCAGCATAATTACATAAGCATTTTAAAATCCGAGTATGTATCTTTGCATTTGATTAGTAACTAATTTTTAATTTATGTTAATTACATTAAATATGCATAAAAATTAGTCTTTTCATAAGTATTCATTTTTTATAAAATCAAGAAGTTCTGAGGCCTCTTCATGGAAATACTGAAAATAATTTACTTATGATAAATTGATAACATATTTTAAATTATGTAGAATAAAACTGGCATTTGATATATATTTTATATAACCTAACATGACTCAAGTTTCCGAGACATTAATAAGTGCGATATCAACAGTGATGGGAAGATTCAAATAATTTAATACATGGCTTGCTACTAAACGTAAACTAACTATATTACTTAAAGAACAAAAAATTGCCTAAATAAATATTGCGATATCAACAGTGATGATAATAAATATTGCGATATCAACAGTGCGATATCAACAGTGATGGGAAGATTCAAATAATTTAATACATGGCTTGCTACTAAACGTAAACTAACTATATTACTTAAAGAACAAAAAATTGCCTAAATAAATATTACAATTTAATTTTAACAGTTGGTTCAATGAACTATTTTAGGAAGAACCGAAACATCCACTAAAATAGTGCAAATCAGCTGAATTCAAACACTGGCTATAAGGCATATCGAAATATGCATCTTGAGAAGTTATAAAATTGAACATACTTTTAAAATTAATTTATAATTAAGAGACAGTAATAGCAAAATTCTGAAAATCCTTAATATTTCAGTATAATTAAAATTTTACACATATATAAACTTTAAAAGTTTTCAAAGTCGACTAAATGAATTTTCCAGTTATAATTTAATTTATTCAAGTATTTAGCTTTTACAAATAAAGTAGGGAAAGTCAGTTTAAATTGATGATATCAAAAAGACCATCAGATCATACAAAACGACAAATGTTATCACAAATTCCTTCCCACACATGTGCTTAATATACACTCATGTGCAAAATTAAGAGAATTTGCCAATTAGGTCTACTTTTATGAAAATTATTGAAGCAAAGGTACTAATTATGCTGCTGAAAAATTATGCAGATATTCAGAGTTAAATACATAAGTGTACATATGTGCGTCTTTGGAGCTCGATTGTTCAGGGGATGTAAGCAAACAAGGGATTTTTGGCGATTTGTGTGCTTGCACTCCTTCAAGACATTCGCCATGTTTCTTGAAAAAGCTGGGTAAATTTTATAAGGTATCAGGTAAAATGAGTAGCCGCAAACATATGGATGATAGAATGAGATAGAGAACTATTGGTATATTGGAGGCAAGCCAATCACAAGCGCAAGTAGCTACAGTGCTCAACATAACACACAGTGTCATCTACAATTTGAGGAAACAATTTCAAGGCACTGGATTCATGCCGAGATTGTAACTGGACACCAAAACGTCAAATGTTAAACTTTTTATTTACCTTCATAAGCAGCTACATAATGATATCACTATGAATCAACTGGAAAAACACTGATCCCATATTTACTCATCTAAGGTTTTCAGTTGCTTTTATTTCTTCTTATTATTTTTTAATTCATTTATTTACTTATTTAAATGGAAAAAATATTCACTATAGATTTTATGAACAGGTGGCTGCTCAATAACAAACAGTTATGATTTAATTTTTCCGAGACAAAAGACACTTATTGGGAAACCATAATATAAAATTTTATTGAACTTCTACCAAAGCACTGAAATGGCACTGCAACAAAAGATTGTGTTCCTAGAAAAATTGTTTCTAGAAAAGGTGCTGGTTGTAAAATTCAAGCATTACTTTTTTAACATTTATTTACTTCTGATATGAAGAGCACCCATTGGTAAAATTTTCTTATTCGAATCTAGGAATGAAACCACTCTACAAGTATAGATTGGAATAATTGCATGCAAACTTATTTGTAAATTCCTTTTTTCTATTTATTTTGGATTTAATAAAATAGAAATTCTTTTGATGAAGCTACATACATTATTAGAGTTTCCATTCTACACACAGTTAGATTTTGTGCCAATATTTATATTTAGCATCAGCAGCCAATCGGTGAACTGATAAATGCCATTAACTGATTCTTTCCGAATGGCGTAAGAGCCCATATGGATTCCAAATACTGAGACACACTGGTAATAATACATTACCTCACTGAACATACCTGAAATTGTTATATATTTAAATCTAACTGAAAAATGTTTTTGTAAAACTAACTGGTACATCAAACTTCTTCCTCGTACAACTGCAAATTTGAAATCTTCAAAGATTTATTACTTAAAGATAAAAACTTCACAAATATTTTTGTTAATAATTAGCAATGATTATTAATTAACAATTCTTTCTGGTAACAAAATATGAAAATAAAATAAATAAAAAAGAAAATACCATTAGATGAAGGTTCAGGTGTTGGTCTGTTTTCCTATAAAATATATATTTGAAAAAAATTACACATACACAATTTATACATTAATTTAAACATAAAATTAAATATATAAAAATAACAAAATAAAAAACAAATAAATATAAAAATTATGTATAGAAAGGAAAGCAAAATATAACAAATAAAAGTAATGAAACTGAATAGCAAATTAAAATATTAATTTGAAATTTTTATGCATTTTTTTTTAAAGCTGTTAAATTGACTTTATATGAAGTATTAAGTTATACAATACAAAGTCTGGAATCATCAGAACTTTAGAAATTCCAGACCTTTGAAATTTCTGGATTTCCGATCACCAAACTAAATTTAATAAGATTACATATAGAAATTATAAAATTTAAAATATGGAAGATTCTTTGTGAAATAATGAACCATTTATGATTTTAAATGAACCAAAATGTACAAAAAGAAAGCTCATTATTAAAATGTGTTTTGTTTCATTAAACTTGTTTTCAATACAGGTTGTTTAAGCAATTTTTCTTGTTCAGTTATGAAGTTTCATCAGTCATTTCTATAATTCTTGCACTGAGAATTCCCATTAAATAGTCAGTTGAAATCTTTTCATTTGCAACAACATCTTTATCACTTTCTTCACTATGAATCATATTTTCTCGATACAAATTTCGCCGTCTGTTAAATGATTGATTATTAGAGCACTGTTATAGAATGGATGGCTTAAACTACACCTTTTACATTCAGCATAATACAGATTTCAGCATCCATTAGGTGACTGCTGATTTAGGCATTGTCATCACAATGGAAAACTTCTACACTGGTTATCATAAATTAAGGAAAAATCACAAAAATCACGATTACTGAAAAAGTTACATGTAGAATTTAATGAAACTTACCCACAATAGTAAGGTATCAAAACACATAAAAAGAAATTGCCAGACAAATAGGGTAGTAAAGAAATTAGTACATGTATAAAACGAACAAATCGAAGGTGTCAGTTTGCTATAGGAAAAGTACCTTCAATATGGAATATGATTGCCTCTAGAAGCAATACAGCAGATACAGTGATGTGTGATGCTTTCAATTATGCGGTCTATCAGTTCCATAGGAAGCGAGAGCCATTGCTCTTGCAAAGCAGTTGCGAGCGTGACAAGGGTTTGAGGGAGGCGGATTGAGAGCAGCTAGACGTCTCCCTAAAGCATCCCAAATGTGCTCGACAGGATTCAAGACCGGATATCGAGCTGGCCACTCGTGCATAATTGTTTCCTGTTGAAGATAATCATCTACAATGCGAGCCCTGTGTGGTCTTGCGTTGTCATCCTGTAACAAGAAAGCATTACCTATTGCCCCGGTATATGGGCACAGATAAACATCAAGGATGTCATCTCTATAAATCTGAGCATTCACGGTTCCCCTTGGAAAGACATGGAGGTCTGTGCATCCACCCAAAGAGATGCCACCCTAAACACAGACACTGCCCCTTCCGTATGCACCTCTTTCACGGATGTTTGATGGAGGATAGCGGGTTTTAGGTTCTCTCCATATCAAATAACGCCTACTATTGCTTTCTATACTAAACCTGGACTCATCCATAAAGAGAACCGCCCTCCATTGATCAGGCATCCAGTGGACATGTTGTTGTGCCCACTGAAAAACGGTCCCTCCTATGGCATGACGTGAGCAGCACACAAATGGCTGGTCGCCTCGCCTAGAGACCACCTTCGCGAAGCCTTCTACGCACAGTGAACGTTGACACGAACCTTCCAGTGGCTGCAACAAGGAAGGGTCTAAGAAGAGTCGTAGTAGCAGTTCTATTCATGCGTGCACATAATGTCAAATGTCGGTCATCGGCGATCGTCGTAGCAGTTAGCCGTCCTTGGCTGAACCTCCTAGATGCCGAATCTGTGGTTTGAAATTGTCTCCAAAGTCTATGAACCACAGAAGGACTCGCATTTAGCCATCTGGCCACTTCTGTTTGACTTTGTCCTGCCTCTAGTCCCCCAATGGCTCTCTATCGCAGTTCTGTAGGCAAATGATGCCTGGAGGTCATTGTTACGCATTGGCTATCTCAGATTTTTGATGTCACTGTCACAGTGAAATATGTGGACTTGTTCTCAAACATGGACTTTTATGCTCCTCGCAGATGACATATTCTGAAAGCAGTGAAACTCATTTGCATATCACAGTTTTACTCAGCTACTCTTACTTGGCAACATATTCAAATTTTACACGGATTGGCTTATTTTTGAGGGAGTTATCGCTATTTTTGTGATTTTTCCTTAATTTATGATAACCAGTGTATTATGTCTCCATTTATTAGCCCTTCTCCGCATATTTCACACATTCTATGAATTTGAAAATTTCATCTATTATAGCATTCCAAATCTATGGTAAAATAAGGTTGCTGTTTTGTTCAATTTTGAAATCATACTTTCTTAACCCCTTCATGATGGCATGTTGCTGAACTAAAATCCCTGTGCAGATGGGTGTGTCATACATGCATCAGTCCCAAATGTTGCTAGCAGCTGGGTGATGCACTGGTGCAACACACCATCTTCAAGGCGAGTTGTACTAAACAGCATGCCATCTGTTAAGAGGATTAGCTGCTGATGCATATATGATACACCGATCCTGAAAGGCTTAAGCCCTAATTATGCCAATGCCATTTTCTTACTCTAAGACCACCACAGAAGCCATGAAAACATATTTATGATTTTGCTTTGCAGGTTCTACTACAGCTTCAGAAATAGTCAGAAGGAGTCTTTTTGATATAATTGAAAATTAAAACTTTAGTTTTGGTAAGAAGCTATAATAATAGCCTTAAAAAAATAATAAGCTCATTCAAATTAGTTATATGGAAGAACACAATCTGCTATGTTAATTAAACTTAATTTCTTCAGAAACTAATTCCTTTACTCTTTCCACTGTTATGCCAACAAATGAAAACTAGTATTAGCAAAATCCAACTCCTATATATTGCTAGTTATCTCTATATAACTAGCAATATATGTCTTAGACATAATTGTTTAGGTCAGATAGAAAAAATATTACAACCCTTATCTCCACAATCATTTTAGGCCCAAAAGTATGGTTGCAACTCAATGTATTTGCCTCACACTCTGAACTTTTGCAAGACATGCTCCATTTGACACACTCTGGGAAAAAGTTTACACTTTTGATGTCAAATCAATTCATTTTAGTGATTAGAAATCAACGAGGAGTGATAAATGCTGGCAAATGTGGCATACCAACCTTTAATTTTGACACTGGGCCACATCAATGAATATGTACGATTCAACATCAGAACCACAATACATGCGATTTGCTAATTCATAAATATCATCAGTCCCAAGCACATGCATCTGGAATAGAGGCATCAGTGCTCTTGTTTTAAATCCGACATAGGATTTACTTTAATAATATTGAACCCTATAGCAATTAGTTCATTTTTAGTATCATCTGCAGGACAATCTGAAGGTAATTTTCTAATTACAACTTTTACTGTTCTCACCATTTTCTAATGCACTATGTAATGTTGGACGTTATTAAATTCTAAATATCTTGAAATATCTCTATGGTCATCTGCATAAACAAGGAGTATTTTTCAGAGTTCACGAGAAATTCTGACAGTGAATTGGACATTCAAGGCCTCTCACACTTTTTCACAAAATCCTTAAATTTAACTTGTGGTATAGCCATGATTAAGCGGATTCTCAGCTTTCACTCTGCCTTCTGAGGGGCATTATTTACATTTATAAAATCATGCAGTGCATTCATATCAATATCAGAATCATCTTTTGTGTTGACATTACTGTTCTACTAGTCTCAGATCTACTAGAAATGGAAATATCACCAGGATTCTTTAACATTTTGCTCGGTTGATCGGTTTTCCACGGGGAAGTAAAAGCCATACTGCAAACACATGGCATTATCTCGAGCACGTTTTTTGGTCCTATTTTTTTCCGAGTTCCAATAGTCAAAGTACTGGGGGTTATACATATTACTTGCATCTGTGACATTTTTCACATCATCAGAAAAGAGTGCCTTCTTAGAATTATTATCAGTATCAATAGAATCTGAATTAGTACAATGAACCTAATTGCATTGACTTCTAATTACAATTCCTCAATTACTACATTCTTAGATTTATTACCGGAAACATAAGAATCCAAATTACAACATTTCCTCAATTACTACAACTAGTGTCATTTAGATTCATTGCCAGCATTTATGTTAACCCCACTATCCGACTTACCACCACAAACAACAAATATTTAATTCATAACCAGCTTTTAATTAATTAATAAGAGATTGGGATACTACTCTTATATATGCCCTCAGAAGTATGGCATCGCCAAATGTGGCCACATGGATTTTGCAATGGTTTTTGGCACGATGTTGTTTGTATGGCAAACCTTTTGACATTGAAACTTAATTTTGCTGGAGTGGTCTTATTTGCTGGTTGTTTGGTTTGGTGGGCATTTTGAAATGGCTTATGTTGCAATGAAAGACGTGGTGGCAAAATTTCAGTTGCATGTTTTGGATTGTGTGCAAAGTAAAATTAATACTTTCAAAATTTTGAATCGCAGAAAGATGCATGATATTGCAAAATCGTGGCACTTTTGTTGACAGATGTTGTGCAACTGGGGAAATTTTATATATGAATGTATAATGTCTGTGTATGCTTTGTGTCTCAGAAGACAGGGAAGAAGTAGTGGAAATTGACGAGTTTTGCTGATGTTTGAATTTGATATTTCTTGATTTATTGTTTGAAGAAGCATTCTCAATGGTAAATCGTGGCACATTTGTTCACAGATGTTGTGTGACTAGGGAAATTTTATATATGAATGTATGCTGGACTTTATATGCTCTGTGTCTCAGAAGACATGGGAGAAGGATAAAGTGGTGGCAATTGATAAGTTTTGCTGTTGTTTGAATTTGATATTTCTGCTGTTTGAAACATTCTCAATGGTAAGTGCATTTAATTTTATTATTGTTCTTATTTTGTAGAATGTTACATTCAT